ACTTTGTCATAATTTATGATGGGCCCAAAGCCGAATTTGAATAAAACCCACAATTTGCTATTCATTCATTAAAAATGAAAACAAAACATGTATTTAAAAAAAAAAATAGCGTGAATACCCTCATGAAATTTGATGTGTAAACATATGCGTACGGCTTGGCAAAGCATTAGGCGATTCAGTTACATACATGAATAGGTTAGGGTAAAAACTATGCCGAAGTGGTCTCGAAATACTCCTGAAGTAGTCCCAAAATGATCCCGGATAGCCCGGAAATGGTTCTGACACGATCCCCAAGTAGTTCTAAAATAGTCTTGACCTAGTCTCGAAGTGGTCAAGAGCTAGTCCCAATATGGACCTCAAATAATCGTTAACTAGCCCCGAAATGATCCTAAACAGGTCCCGAAATGGTTGCGAAATGACCCGACCTAATCCTGAAATGATCATGAAATTATCCTAAGATAGTCCCGAAAAAGTGTAGAACTAGTCTCGAAATGGTTCATAACTACACCCAAGATGGTCTCCAAATAGTCGAGCACTAGCCCCGACATGGTCCTAAACAGGTTCCGAAATGGTCACTAAATTGTCCTGAAATGATACCGAAATAGTCCTGAAATAGTTATGAGCTAGTCCGGAAAAGGTTCTGAAATAGCGCGGCACAAGTCCAGAAATTGTCATTTGTACACACAAGAAGCAATTATAGAATTTCTGCTGAGTTACACAAGAATCAGTTACAAATTTTCTGCTATGTTAACGCAAATTTTACCCACACCGAGAGCTAAGATGTTTACATATCAAAAATTTAAAATTCAAGTTAAATTTTACTTCAAACGTGCTTATCAATCGTCTCTAACTACGGGACAATATGTGTCTTTTTTTTACTTACATAACTAATTGGAAATAACTCAAAATTTAAAACCAATTTGACTCTTCCACAAATAGCAAAAACTGAAACTGTTAATAAGAACAATTGAGTTACACACAAAATCCAAAGAAAACAAAATGTCCAAAAAGCTTCCAATAATTTCCGTTACCGATGACGACCAGGCGGATTCGCCACCCTCTGAAGATTCTAATAGCAATGATATGGACTATAACTGTAATGCGGGCGAAGCTACAGACGTCGAAGATTTCGATAGTCAAGGCGATATTAAAAAATTTACAAATCAGAAATCTCCCAGCAATACAACATTGAATCTACCCAAACTTACACAGCGTGATAGTGATGCCACTGATATCGAAGATTACAATGACACCGATTCTGAAGATGAGGAGAAGAGCAACGTTTATCCCGAATTGAAGTTATCTCTACAAGAATTCTTACAACACGGTCTACGCGAACAAGATAGGGTCGATAATGAGGCTAAGGAACGAGTGGAACACAAAGTTGGAAATTTCTTGCAAGCACAAAATTTAAATGACACAAGCGATTACCTAACCGATTGTGAAGACTATAATACCGATTCCGAATTGGAAAATGACGACTGTGAACGCTCGGTATGTGTCGATTTGGACGCAGCTGCAGGTGAACAGGGTAAAGTATTCATTGCTGATGGCGAGCGTTCCACAAAAGAAAATGATGAATCCGATGAATATGAAGACCTGTCGGTAGTGAGCGATATTAGTGATCTCGCATCGGCGCTATCAAATGCCGACGGCGCATGCGCACGCGGCATGTCCGAGGACGAATTGCTCGAAATGTCGGCCGATGAAGTGGAATGCCAAATTGTTGTCTCAGATTCAGCTTCGGAAAATGAGGAGGACGACAATATATACGATAGCGCCAGTAATGCCAGCTTGCCGCCAATTGATGTGGCATTCATAAGCACTGGCGGCCAGCAACGCCGCAAATCCACAACTATGTCGGCCAATAAGGGTGCATTCTTAACGGTGGCGAGCGGTGGCCCTGCAGAGGAAGTCCTAACAGATGTTGAAAAACTCGATGATTCAGCTGCGGAAGACAGTTTCGATAGCGAGGAGGAGGAGAAACCCATACCGAGGGCTGTTATACTGTCCGCCGCTGGCGTCGATGAAGGCGCCGATTTAACCGATGTGGAAGATATGTTTTACGATGATGTTACACAATCTAGTCACGATGCACACTCAGTGGCCGAGGCAGCGCTGCCACCGCCACATCGTGAAATGGTGGTGCTCAAGGAAGACAAATTCGGTGACACCATCGAGAATGTTATGCCAATGGATCGTGAATATCAATTTGGCATATATAGCACAGTGACCGACGATGTGCAAACTGAAGATGAAGACTACTCATGCGCCGATGAGTTGGGTGCGTATGGCTCAGTAGCCGAGTGTTTGGATGCTGATACTTTGATTGAACATGAAATCACTGTGCTAAATGAAACATTAAAGCCGCAAGTAAGTAAGCGTCTAGAATTGCATGCTAATACCGAATCGGTTACAGATGTTGAAGAAATCTATGTAGATGGCATTAATCGACGCAAGAAACTGAAAACGCGTAGCTTGAGCAAAGGCAAAACCAAACTTTTAGAGGTCACCGTACGGGGCAAGGAAGATGGTGGTGGCACGGACATTGAAGATATGGATTTGAGTGAACAAGGCCTGCCGCCAAATGTTAAATTGAATTTTAATGGACAACAACATCAGCGACAACAACAAGCCGACAGTTTTGATAAGAACACTGATATAGAGGACATGAGCGCTGATGAGGTGTCTGACACTTCCGAAGCGGAAGCTAAGCAAACTGCCGATGTGGGTAGCACCACTTTAAAGGAGTATATAGTGAGCAATTGTAATATTGTGGTGGCAATCGAAACCGATAGTCAACGAAAATCTTGCGCAAATCATATGCAGCGCTGCAAGGCACACACACTGACTATGCTCGATGCGAACGTCGGCGAGGGCACCAATCCGCCAAATACAGATGTTGAAGATGTGCAGTGCCCGAGTGATGGCGATGATGCTGGTGCGGTTAATGACACAACTGAGATGCGTGCGTGCAATAGCAACGAATTAATTGAGTTGTTAAATGAAAGTTACACTATAGTGCATGAGCAGAACAGTAATAGCTTTAATGAGGAGGCTGAAAAATTGCATATAAAAGGCAATGTGGAGACACGTGATGCGCACACAGATGTCGAGTATGTGGAATCGGATGAATCGGCTGCCAGAGGAAGCAATTAAATCGATTCAATCAGAAGCAATAAAAAAACCACAACATTTCACAAAGAAAAACAAACACAAAAGCAAATAAAAAATAAAAATAAAGCAAATAAAAACACAGAAAAAATAAAAAAATAATAATTATAGATCAACAGAATTTGTAAGTAAAATATGTTTCACATTAAATTAAATTAAATAAAAAAAGAAAAATAATTTATTACTCAAATAATGCTAGTGTTGTCAACGTGTTTGCATATGTATTTTGCATACAAATAGTCTAACAAACATACTAACAAATGCAAATGCCAGTTTTCGTCATTACTACTTACTAATCAACTAACGCTTAAGCGTCAAATCATTTTGCTAACAACGAGCCTTGCGTAAATACATACATACATACATAGCCTTACATAAAATTCCATTATTTTTACATACTTAAGTGCATAAAATTCGTTTTGTTCTTCAAAAATTTCATTTTCATAAAATAGTTTTGTTTTTTTTTGTTGTGTGGTCGTACATTATTTTGCAAACATTTTCTCATGCTCACACTTTATGTGGCCATCGTCTTTAATTTTTGCTTTTAGGTGCCACTAACATTTATTTTATATCTCTCTTTTACAGAAACTATAGAAGAAAAATTTGTTTTGGATGAAGACTCTTTCCGAAATTTAGGTAAGCGTGTAAGAAATTAATATATTTAATTATCGTCTGTATGCAATTCGAAACCGTGCTATTTATTTGCTTTAATGAAATTTAATTTTTGGAAATTTATTTTCCTTTTGTGTATGCAAACAAAAACCCGCTTTTAGCCACATGCTTAGTTTCTCAACTCAAATATAATCACCCCACAGCACTGTTTTGACATTGGCATTATATAATTTATTTGAACTTCTCACGCATAGACATAATTCATTTTTATTTAGTTTAAAACCAAAAAAAAATATAAAAAAATCAAAACAATTAGAGCTAATTTTAACAAAATCGGTGGATTATTAATCTTCAAGTTAAGTTCAAGATATCATTTTCGGAACAATAATATTTAGTTTCAACTTACAATATTAAGATTATACCATTTCGTCAATATTGCAGTAAACAACTACTAAGGTGTGCAAATAATATTTTATAAATAAACAAAAATTTTAATAAACTAATAAGATATTTACTTTAAGTTACTCAGCAAACAAAAAAATAAAACAAATCACATAAGAATTACGAAGAAAATAAATCTACTCTTTTTTATTAGCAAAATGAAAAGTACAGCATAAAAACTACAATCATACTATCATAAAATTATTTACGTACCCAAATATGTACAAACTTACTAGTGGACCCGGCGAACTCCGTTCCGCTCAAAACCATTTTTTTTTTATTTAAACCTTTTGGTCCAACATTTTCACCAAAAGTTCACGTTCACGACTTTCAGTGACACGCTTAACCGATGTTTCCACGACAATTGTGTCGCTCTCCAATTCGTAATTTGCTCTCTCATTCGTAATTGGCGCCACAATTACGAACCGAATAACGTAATTCGCCATTTTGAGAGCGAATCACTTCATTTGTAAGTAATTCAGATCCAGTCACCACGAAAATCACGCAAAAATCGTTGTCTTCTCTAATTTTTACCAGAAATTTTACGCACATCCCCACCAGCACAAAGATTGAAAAAAAGCTAGATTCGTTACTTGTATTGATTATGCTATTCAACCACTATACATCTTTTCTCCACCGTTGAAATGCACAATAAACCACACGGTAAACATTAACCATTAGCAAAGAGCAAGAACCAGAGAGGCAAAGTGAATTACGAATGTGCCGTGTAAACAGGGTAATTCGCCGTTCGTAATTAAGAGAGCGAACAACGTGATATGGTTGTAGTGGAAACACCGTTTTTTCTGCTCTGATTATGGTGTTTTGGACGTCAGAAATAGAGCGGCAAGGTATCGATAGTTTAAATTTGTGATCAGTATCGACGAATGGTGGTCACTATCGCGGTACTATCGGAAATCATTTATCATTCCTTTTTTTAATCCGATTATTCGATGCGATGCTCATTTTCCCCCATATAAAAGAATAGTCTAACATACTACTTTATATGGAAACAAGTAATTTTTAAGCATAAAACAAAACCGGCTTCAATTCTCACATAAAAATTTAAGGGTACCGTTGATTGATCCAATGATCGGATCTAGACCAAATTAGTATCGGACCGCCTCTGAGGTACCGGCTTTCCTTAAAAAAAAAAAAAGAATTATAGAAATCGATAAAGTTGGTCCAAAGTTATACGGTAACATACATATCAAAAAAAAAACATATGGGTATTTCCAAACTAGCGTTGAGTGACAGTCTTATGACAAAATGCTAAAAATAAAATATTGAAAAAGTCAAAATTTTAAAAAGATTTATCTAGATTTGCATAGCAATTTAATGGCCCCTTATTCAGTAAAAAAAATACAACTGTTGGTAGTAGCGATTTAAAGTAAAAATACGCGCTGGCGTGGCGTTACAAGAATAGAAGTGGATTTTGACTTCGATTACAAAATTTGAAAACTCTGCGAATTGGGCAAGACAATTCGTATAGAAGCTTTTCTAGTAATATTGGAAATATTTAAGGTTAATTTTCCAAGTTTTTAAATGTAGAAATCCTTTCTGCTTTATGTTTAATCAGCTGAACTATATGTGATATTACCTGGCGTTACGTTACTCACAGTTCCATTGAAAAAGTTTTCAGGGTTCGTATTTCCAAACCAAAGTTCCCGAAATCTTAAGGAAATCGTTAGGATTATCTCATTTCTGTAACGATTTTTTTACGAATTTTCAAAGAAAATTATATGAAGTGGTTGACACGAACTCGTAAAGAAATTTCTGTACGAAAAATAAAGAAAATTCTGGAAAAATTCTGAAAGATATTCTTCACATAGCACCATTATTTTCGTTGCTTCACAGATTTTCTTCCGAAATTTCGTAAAAGAATGGAAGTGTGCGTAGTTTATTTAATTTTAGAAAATTCGGCACAAAATCTAATTAAATCTTAACGAATTCTTTAAAATTTCTTTACAATGCAGAATACTCTGAAAAAATGGTTTGCAGGGCACACACATGCTCTGCTCACACACACGCCAGAAACACATTCAACTTGTACTCACTGCTCATACACATGCCCACCAAACAATTTGTGTTGCCAGCAATAAGAAAACGTGTCGCCCTCGGAAACAAATTTATTGCCGGTAATATTGCCATCGAATCGATTTCCTATTATCGGCCGCTCTAAAACGTCCGCCGAAGGCAACTCGCCTGGGCGAGTCGTTTTCTTATTACCTGAATGAGTCCTTTTCTTATCGCTTCAGGCGATTTTTGGAATAATTTTATTCTTTTTAATACTTCATTTATTTTTTTGTACCAAATTGCAACTTACAATCGGAATTAATTCATTTTCTCGCTGTGCGACTTCCTATTTTTTCAATCTTGTCCTTGGGCATAATTTAGATGCTTTTGGCCAATACTATTGACGCCATATTCATAAGTTTCGGAATTTTTGAGAACTTTTTTATTCAAAATTGACATGAACGAAGTGATGTTGCCGATTTGTCACCACAGTAATAAATCGGTGAGTCGCCAATTTGTTGCCATTGACGATTGTTGCCTATTTCTCATGTTTTGCATGGTGGGTGTGTGTGCATAAGTGGAAAACAAACTCTGCTCACAGAAAAGTGTGTGCTGTTTGTTATTAGGCACATGCACATGTGTGTGAGCCGATTTTTGTACAAATTTCAGCCCATGCACATGCACATAATATATTTTTAAAAGAATTTGTTTATTAAACGTTATTTTTTGAAAGACAATTCAATAAAAAGTGAGATGTTGTTTGTTTTTTATATGACAGAAAACATATTAAAAATTTATTTTAAGATTTGAGTTAGAAATCGAAGTGTATAAGTTTCTCTACGCAAAGCACACACATGTGCGTGTGCTTTATATTAATAAAAATAAAGTACACACATGTGCCCGTGCTTTTTACCAAACGGCACACACATGTGATGTGAGCAAGTTTTTAATTTTTTATATGCACAGCACACGTGTGTGAGCGTAAAATGTTAGGATGTGCTGCGCATGTGTGTGCAAATACGAACCCTGAAAGTTTTGTTAATATTGTTCTTTAAAGAATTTTTAACAGAAAGAAAACATGCATTTTATGTCGAGCGTACTTTTTGATTTGACATCAGCGCCACCAGCGGCTCCATTTTTTGCAAATCTATGTATTATTACGTTACAACTGAACATGCGAAATGTGAAACAAATCAAAGCTTAAATACGGGTTTCAAAATATCTCGACCCTGGCGCCACCTAACGAGACCATTTTTGGCAAAAATGTTTCTGCTTATATAACTAGTATATATTGTAAATAGCAGCCAAATCGGCCTCTAAATAAGTTTGATATAAAATTTTAATTTTTCTACGCGGTAGACTTTTTGAAGTCGGTTAAAAAATCGATCAACACCTTCAATAACAAAAATATGCCAAAAATCAAAGATAAGCCGTGGCTACATCAAACCCACACTTTATTATGTTAAAATTGAATACACCACAAAGTTACATAATTAAAATTTTTCTAGGAAATCTAATTAAAAAACTCGAAATTTCAATGAAACGTGGTCGCGTTTTCTTGATTTTTGTATAAAGTTTGAAATTTAGACTTACATACATGGTTTTTGTAAGATAACGATCGGTACTAAAAAAATAATAAACATTAAACAGAATTTGCCAAAACTTGTTAAGGTGCCTCTCCCTCTTACCATATTCAATATAGTTAGTGCCGTAGTAAGGATCTCATACTTTTTCTCTTACGATTATGCATCTGTTACCAAAAGTATTGATACTTTCGAATGGTGAGACCCGATACTATCGAAGATATCGAATGGGCCAACCATCGATGAAAAATGTATTGTTTAGGCCGGATTCAGAATAGAATGCGAAAGTTTTCGCTTGCCGTTTGTGACTGTAGCTTTTCGACGTCGAACTTACGTCGTGCCTATCACACCGTTATCAATTTGGTTTTTCGTCTGTGTTCAAGGGACACCCAAATGGTATTATGTAAATATGTACCAAATTCCGTGCACTGAGTCTCTCTTCGTTGTCGTAGGTATTGTCATGAAGACGGAAATATCAGAATGATGCACCAAATATGTTTAGCTTTCTTGCGGATTGTGGAAATTCGTCGAGGCCTCCGCTCCGCTCAACTACAAATTTGTCGGCCGTAGCATTACAGCTGTAACAGATGTCGCTTGTAGCAAGTTTTCCTGTACTGTGTTGATGTCAGCCTGGTATTTCTCCCAGCAAACCAGCAGGCATCTTTTTTATGGAGGTTCCGGACATTCCAAGCGCTTTTCAGCAAAGCAAAATTCTTGTTTTGTGTAGTGGGTCGTCAAAGTTTTTTGGGGGGAAATCAACCGAGGCTGTCTTAGGTTTTCCATTGGATCTGTTTTTTACTTTACCGGTTCGAAACCCCTTACAAAAGCCATTGCTGGGAGAGTTTTTGAAGATGCTCAGTTAAGTATAGAGTGAGCCGCTTGCTCTAAGACAACAGTCGACGGCTTGTAGCCGAATCTAAACTGAACAGATGCTGCTAACTTTAGTGCGCTCCTAAACCGAATAAGTCAGAGTGGCCACACCGCAAGTCCCCACACGAGTTGGTTACCGCATTTCGCACATGGGTTGCTTGCATTCGCCAGAGTGCGAGAACGGGGACGCAAGAGTCGGGATTGTGTATAGTGGTGCAACTATAACTGCATATTCAGAAGAACGACAATAAGGAGAGGAAATAACTAACAACAGCCGCGAGGTCATGGAGAATAAAATAATTGAAGAGTTTGCTGAAGCGTTTGTTACTTGGATAAAAATGATTGAATAAAAAATGGGAAAATTTTGTTTTTGGTATATTAAACTCTGTATCCTCTCTGTCTAATTTTGGGCAGCGATGCCCGTTGGCGATCAAAAACCGTATTATTTTTTTTTACCTGTACCAAAGGCTCTCGGACTTCATTAGATATATTAGATTAGATTAGACAAAAATTTGTTAGTTGGTCAAAGGACTGAACAACGATTCATTTGATGATCGGAAGTAATTAATTATAAGTACATATAAACATACTGTTAAGGTAATTGTTAGCATCTGTAAAAATTACATATTTAATTGTTCCTTTGAATATCTACTTGTCACCGCTTAAGCCTCACATTCAAACACATCGCATTATCATTCCACGATACACGCCATTTCACGCTCATTATTGCATTGAAAATGGATTTGCACGCTTTTCACTAACAATGTGTAAAAAAAAAAACGAAATGAATGTATTTGGGTTGTTGCCCCAAACATGTTGCTGTAATTACATATGTTGATTAAAGTTTTGGACTTTTGGTGCATTACATACAAACATACATACCTATTCTATGTGCAATATGTGCAATTGTCTTGCAGGCGATGACGTTCAAGAACATAAAATTAGTGCCGATGTCGATGATAATGAAACACAAAAATTAATAGATTTTAATGAAGATATTGGTGACAAAGCAGATAAAGATACCGATAAGAAAGAAGGATATGGTATTCGAGATACTCATGCAGATAAAGATACTGACGATGATAAAGACAGTGATGATGACGACGACGACGATGATGATGATGAAGACAGAAGCAGAAAAGCTGGTGATGCTGTTGTCGATGATTACGGCGCCACCGTACGTAAAGAGGCTGCAGTGCTAATTGATCATGTACTGGAAGAGAGCGTTAATATTATTAGCAGCCAACAACAACAACAACAGCAGCAACAAGAGCAGCATGAGTCAAATGGCTATGATTCGCTTAGGCAAGAATATAATTCAGAGAGTGAAAATTATGCAATTACATGCGATGACATTGGTGGCTTAGATGTTGTCAAATCACCAACCATTGAATCGATGTCTGGCAAATCATTCGACGATAATATGAGTTTCACCGACGAACAATGGCATTTCTCACAGCAACACACGCAAGTCACTACTGCAACCACAGGTGTTACAACCACAACAATAACCACTACAACACAGCAACAACAACAACAACAACAACCAATACAATTGTCACATGACTTGTTACAATTCAAAGATGACTTTGAATTAATGCCAACCGTAACAGAAATTACGACAACAACACGAACGATTACAACCTCCAGAGAGGCGACAATACCTGGTGGTAGTGGTGGTGGTGGTGTTGGTGATGATGATGGTGATGCTGCGGCAAAATTGAAGGCAAAAGGTAATTTTGAAGTGGCGCAACATGTAAACACAAATACATGAAACAATTTTGTTTTTGATAAATACTTACATATGACTATGTGTTAGGATGGGGCATTGTCAAATTTGGCCAACTTTTGAGAAACCTGCGAATTAGCGTGCAGTTGCGCAATACTTACTAGGTTGTTTCAATTTTGGTCTTTTTAAACTCTTTTTTGGACATATGCACATACTCGTACATACTAAAAACATACGTTTGTATATTCTCATATGATATTACATATGTATTTTGTTACTACTGTGGGGTTATAAGGTCGTTTTTACGGTTTAGTTTTGTGAAATAAGTGTTTCTGTTAAATATTTTCTATTGATAAGCATTACTCGTTTGCCTTATCGCGCCATAACGGCCCAAAAGACCTAACCGACATTTTTTTTTTAATTTTCTTTTTGTTGCAGAAATGTTCCTACAGCATCTAGATGCATTTCTGTATCAAAAATTAATTTTTTTTTAAATGTCGCTTACATCTTGTTGGCGATTGGGACTCGATTACTCCTGTGACACATGGTGGAGAGCAATCAAATTTCGGAATTTTCTAAAGAAATTCATTTAAGAAAAAAACTGAACACATATTTTATAGAAATTTAAATTACTTAAATTTTTGGTTATTCCAAAACGGTACCATATGTCCATCGCCATAAATGGAAAATATGTTTGGGTATTAAAAATCAGACATAATTTTGTGGTAATTTAACTTTGAATTTAAAAATTATACATAAAACATACATTTTGAGCATTAAACAAGCATAAGTTTTTAGTCATTTAAGGCCTCAACCGGACATAACTTTTTGGTAATGTAGAAATTGGACACCAAATTTTGGCCAATTTATACTTAGACATAAATTTTTTATCATTTAAAATGAGAGTAAGTTTCTTCTCTTCTAGTATCTGGACATAATTTTTGTTAATAAAAAAACCGGACACAATTTTTTGGTATAAACCCATGGTCAATTTAAATTTAGACAGAATTTTTGATCATTAAAAATGAGAATAAGTTTTTCATTTAGAAACTGGACATAAGTGTTTGGTCATTTAAAATCCAGAAATAATTTTTTGGTAATTTAGAAGTTGAACATAAATTATTTACCATTCTAACATAAATTTTTCTTAACTAACTAAATGAGAACAAGTGTTTTGTCATTAAGAAACTGCACATAAGTTTTAGGTAATTTAAAAATAGAATGGTAATGTATAAATAAATTCGGCATACATTTTTGGTCATTTAAAACCTGGTCATAAAAATTCTTAATCGCTTTAAAAAAGAGAATACTTTTTTGGTCATTTCGTAACGGGACATATTTTTTGTTATTTAATAATTGGGCATATTGTTTGGTTATTTTAAAGCTCGGCATGAACTTCTGGTCTTTTTAAAACTTAAAAAAAAAAATTGCCATTTATAAACTGGGATTAATTTGCTGGCCATTAAAAGATTGGACATACCGAATATGGTAATTCAAAAGCCGTACATACATTTTGGTTATTCCAAAATTCAACAAAAATTTCTGGAAGCTTTTAGGACTGGAAATTTTAAATTGCCACCATGGATATAAAAATAGTATGCATTAACTATTGAATTGTAAGAACAGGACGAAGATTATGTGCACTTCTTTCGCATGTGCTGTCTATATCGCAACAAATGGTAATCAGGCTGGGCGAGGAGGTATTTATCGAAATTTCTTAACCAAGCACTCTCAATTTTTCTAGCTGTGCCGTGATGGAAGACCCACCATTCCGGTTTCTTAATTTCTGGAAGTCTTTTTTTTTTTTGAAAAATCTGGGTCAATCGCATTTGTTACGGATAGTAGAGAGACGAATCAATGCTTTCGTGAAGCTCCACTAAACTTCAGCAGCAGCACTGCAGCACTTGCAAAACTTCTCCGGGCTTTGATAAGAATTTTTCTGGTGGATGACTTATTGTCGTGCATAAGTAGTCCTCTTTTCATTTATTATTTCGTTTCAGATATGGCTAACTATATGTGGTAACTCGACCTGCATATTAAATGTTTTACTATTACCTGCATATAGTCATTATTTAGGTATGAAAATAACCTTTTGAAATCTGATGTTTAAAATTCTACGACTACGAAAACGTATTATGAGATTTGGACTTTAGAACCCTTTACTATTAAGTAATAAGCAAAGATGAAAGTTAAATTGTTCGGTATTGTCCAGCCGTTGGGTTTGATGACATTTTTGTCGAATCGATCAAGACAAAATCGGCTGCACTTTTGCCTAACATCAGTCAACACAAATTTAGCTACGCTCTGAGTAAATAGTGCAGAAATTTTACAAGCAAACACTTCTGATAGAATAGAATACAACAGTTTTATAAATCAAACAGAACTATGACAGCTACCGATGGTGTGGTGTTTTAGTCACTCCGCACATAATATCAAATCAACCTCCGAAATACTCACGGGTTCATTGGTCTACCTTGATATTAATGCCTTCAACAACGTAAGTCTACAATTAAAAATATACACGACGAAATGATAACAGTTTTTGAAGTCGGTAATGAAATTATTTTTGCAATTCAATTTCCTAAAAATGTTTACTATAAAAGATTTATTCAACAATTTGTATTGAGCTTGAAGCGGTTTTTATTGAAAAACTATTGTGGAAAAGCAACCACAAGCAAGCTTTTCCACAATAGTTTTTCATTAAAAACGGCCTCAAGCTCAATAAAAATTGTTGAATATAATTGTTATAAGGCCATAAATTAACAAAAACATAAAAGAGTTATTTCTGTTTGAATCAAGAATGGAGAACAAAATTTATGATCAAAACTAAATGCCATTCTGCTAGCCTTTTCCCAAGAACGCTTACAAATCCAAACCGAAATGAGAACAAAACCTGCGGGAGTGTTTTTCCAAGAACGAAAGTGAGAAAAAACTTTCGACAACGTTCTCAACGGGAATTATATAAGAACAAAGCGAATAAAATGCGAACAATACTTTCGGAAATATTTTTAAGAAAACAAACATTCTGGAAAAAGACAAAGTGGAACGAAAAGTTTAAGGAACTTTCTCTCGACGAACAATATGGGAACTAAAGTCTCAGAAACGTTCTGACACAGAACGAAACAAGAAAAAGTTTTCTCTGAACCATTCGCGAAGAGTGGAGGCACTAACAAAATTTTGCTCATAGCGCTACATCTAGTTTGAAATGTTTGAATATTAAAATTAATCAAAAAATAACTGAAAGAGAATTCTGCAAATTAAGTTAACGAATGAAATTCACAGTTCACCCTAGTGATAAACGATGTGGAAGTTGAAATAATCCAACTTTCCTTTGGCTTAGAATTCAAAATCGTGGTTCCCACTGAAATGATTTTTCATATTAACACGTAGACACCCCTATAATTCTTAACGTTAAATTCTCAAACCTTTTGTTTTGATTTTGTTCTCCATCAAAACGTTCCCCAGAATTTTGTTCATATTTTATCCTTCTAAAAACGCCCTTACGCTCTTTAAGGAGCCTCCCCCCCCCTTAATAGTTCTATTCCCGTTCGGTTCCTTTGTGGGAACGTTCTTGACATTAAATTTCATTCTCGTGCAGCACTTAACTATTTAAAACCGAAACGTTTTCTCGGTACCTGGTTTGGATGCATAATTTTTTCTGCTTTTGGTTAAAGTTTTTCTTTGTAGAAAATTCATTTTTCCCTAAAAATATTTCTTTCTATAGATGAGGTTATTTCCTTTTCCTATTTAAAAAAAAGAAAAAAATATTTTTATCAAAAATTCGTTTTTATATACATATATTTCTTCCTAAAATTTATGATGAAAAAACAGAAAACTTTAAAATTATTCTCACAGTTTTCTTATGAGTGAATAAGCTCTTTGGGAAGCTGTTTCCCTTGGTCCTGGAAGGGTTAAAAGAGGCATCGGGGAACATTTTTCTTATAGGTGGAATTATATTCACAATGCAGGAATCAAGCGAAGACCTGTATGTGCCCAGGATGAAGAACGGGTGGACTGACGCGACAATTAGCACAGCTACTTGGTCTCGGCTCAAACCACATTTATTATTTTGGAGAGATAAAACCTTCGAACTCTGACTGGGTTTTTCACGTGGCACTGTCGTACATTTGATTTGCGTATCCTATGCTTTGGCTGCTTAAGTGTAATGGTATTTTAACCATTCGAAATATGGAAAAAGTCCATGGAAATGGTTTATCATCGACCTAACTCTATATATCTTAGTTTTCTTCGACCACTTCGTGAATAAGACGTGCCCCGGACGCCTTCGGCTCTTTGCTACTCCTTCTATTTAAAATCAATCAAATCAATTTAACGTGAAATTTCAAGTAAAATACACTATGGAATACTTTTAAGGTGTGTTTAGGGCCCTGTATTTATGCGTAGTAGTCAAGTCCCAACTCAGTACATTTTTTTACAGTTGGTTAAAATTTACACGTTTTAGCTCTAAATTAATCATTTTGGCTTCAAGCATAACTCTTGTCTTCAGAGATTCATACAAAATTAAACGACCAACTTTTAAGAAGAAGTAGTAGTCCCGAAGTAGTTCTACAATAGCTTCGAAATGGTTCTGAAGTCGTCCTTAACAGGTCCCGGAATGGCCCCTAACTAATTCCGAAATTATTCTGAAATAGTTCTGCATTGGCCCCAAGACGGTCTAAAAAGTCATGAAATTGTTCTGAAATGATCTCGAACAAGTATTTCAACGGTGCAAAAATAATGTCTTATTATTGCCAAAATGATTACTAGCCCCAAAATGGTCCCTGAGCTAGTCCGGAAATGGTCCTGAACCAAAATAGTTCCGAACTAGATCCAAGATGTTCTTGAATAGTCCATAACTAGTCCCGAAATTAATGCTCCTAAACATTCCCGAAAAGGTCTTGAAATAATCCTGCATAGGTAAAAAATGGCACTGAACTACTCGCGAGCTAGTCCCGAAATGGACCCGAAATAGCCCTGAAATAGGCCAGAAATTTTCATTTTTACACACAAGAAGCAGTTACAAATTTTCTGCTTCGATCATCGACCAAGCCGTAGAAACTAACTTATAACCCCAGTACCTACTGAATATTTGGAAGTTATAGTATAATCTGTCCGACTAAAACTACTTGTGCTTACATTTGCATATGCATGTAAATATGTATGTACATAGGTACTAGTGATTCTAAAAATATTACAGAGGATCCCACTGTTACAAAATCGCGGCGAATTGATCACAAATTCGAAAAGCTCACAACGCATGCTGGCGACATTGACGAACAAGCGTCAGCATTCGATGCTAATTTCGACGCAATGGTGCACGATGATGAGTTAAGTAATTTACAAAGTGAATTTTCGAAAATGAGTTGGGATGATAGTGTGTCGCCGACAACAAACACTTTGGGCGATATCGGTCAAAATACACCCGATAATGATATACAAGATATTGCAACAGGTATTAATAAATAAACTTATTTACAAAAAATAATTATGAAATGTATGAACAAAAATTAACATATATACATATATTCAAAAAGGCTTAGTTTGCAAGTGAAATGCAAGATTTTTGCAATGCAAGGACATTATGGAGTTGCAAGCATACCGCATAAATTTGTATGTCTTAAAGTATGATTTTGACAATTGATATACTTATATATATATATATTTTTTTTTTTTGAAAGATACTTACGTACATATTTCCAAAATATGTATATTTAGCAACATATTTGTACATACATAGGTTTTGTTAAAGTTGAGCTCTAATTGCATAATGGTTAACAATTGCGTTTTCTTTTCATAGAAATGCTTTTTTCAATTTTAATTTCAATGATAATGGCTCAAATTTGCATGCCGAATATACTTACTTGATTTTAGTCTTTTATTTGCAAAGAAAGTAGCAAACTAATTTACAAAAACAATATTATATGCCTATATTCTTTACCTGACATATATACCTAAAAAATAACCACTCGTCTATCTCTTTAGTTTCTATCCTCTTATTTTTTCAGTTAAAATTTAGTTTATTCTTCTTTGATACTTTAAAAAATGTCTTTACTTTTACACTTGTTTTAATTTTTGTAGAGACAGGCTTTGAGTTCGCTAAATCATCTGAAACCACCCCAGTACCCACTGGCGCTACAACAACAACTGCCCCAACTAGTTCCGATGCAGATGCCCCAACACCCAGACCTCGTGGCGCTGGCGCTAAACCAGCTTCACCAGTTAGAGATATTGTTGCCGGCGATATTGCACAGTGCCTCAAGAGTGATGATGCAACCAGCCTTCAGACAGACTCCGCTGAAATCTTGTCAGATTTATCATCAACTGCACCGGTACCAAAGCCACGCTTGCAAATGAAGCCAACGGACTCTTTCAAAAACTTAGCTGCTTTGGCGAGCGAACATTCGGATAGCATCAGTTTACGTAGTTTGGATATGACAGAAGATCTATCTAAAACCGATGAACCGTCTACGGAAATTTCTATCAAGTCATCACATGCACGCGATTATCCTACGACTACAACTATCACAACGACTACAACAGCTTCTGAAGATCACACCGAGTCACTAGAACCCACAAGTGAGATTTCAGTAGACGATGCCGACACAGAAAAATCCGAACTTGTCGATGGTCGTGGGAAAACTAGTTTCTATATTGGCGAATCGAGCCGAAATATTATTGTCAAAACCACGCCTACAAAACCAGATGGTGATTTAGATGCGTCTGAGGACACAACAGCAGCTGCAGAAAATGTCGCTGAGGCTACTATCGAGGCCAAGGATATAGCGTTAATGAAGGAGGTTTCCGTCGATTCGGATGAAAGTAACGATATATTTAAGGAATATGTGACAATGAAGCGCGAAACAGGCGAAGCTGACAGCAAAATAGTGCGACAAGGTTCCGAAACCAGAAATGATCTCTTGGAACAAGAACCGCTTAAGGAAAAGCCAACTGATGAAGACAAAGTGTCTACTACTTTTATGGTAACTGCAGAAATTTCACAGCCTTTCGCGGAAGAATTTGAAAACATTTTAAAGAAACCAGAGGCATTTTTTGATGATTCGTTAACCCCGAAATCAGAGAAATTCGATTTGCAACTAGAAAAGAGCGAATGGGAGACAGCGGAGAAAGAAATTCCTGTGGATGGTAAACCTAAGGTGGTGCACTCACCACAACAGTTGAGTGAGTTGCCGAAAGCTTTGATTGATGAAGAAATGGTTGCCAGAACATTGGAAGAAGCACAAGAGTCGTTGAACGCTGCAAAGAACGAACTGAAATTCATAGTTAAGGATGGAAAATCAATTAAAGAATCGCCATCAGAATTCGAGTTTCGTTCAATATCTCAGGCATTCAGCAGCGCGGAGAAAAAGGAAAAATCTATGCCAGAAGCAGATCCCACGCCAAAGGCGGCTCAACCGCAGGAGCGTGAATTCGCGGAAATGGCAGATATTTCTTCGTTTATAGGTATACCAGATACTTTGAAAGATACAACTGCACTCTCAGCTTACGAGTCAGCAAAAGAAACAACTGAGTTACTCTTTGACGGAACAACAAAGGAAACTTTGAATAAGGAAGCTGTTATGGCACACTATGCGCGTGAGATTTTCGAAGAGGTCAAGCAAGAGGGTAAAGATGAGCATGGCTCGTTGGGCTTCATATCAACCGGCACTGCAGACGATTACAGTTCGATGGAAGACTATGCAGCCAAGGAAGAACATGCCTCCCTTGGTTTTGTATCAACAGAAACTGTTGAAGACTTCAGTTCAATGGAGGACTACTTTCAGGAAAAAATGACCAAGGCTAGCGTAGTAACTGTAGAGGGAGGACCAGTGAGCAAATCACCAATTGAAGATACAACTGTCGGCAGCGCAACGGTTTTTTCGGAAATAAGTTCCGAACAAACAATGAAACCATTCGAGCAGGTAACACATCGCATTAAGTCAGAAAGCAGCTCAACTGATTCCACAAATAGATGGTCTGTACCGGAAATTGATCAGTCCAGTTCAAGTGAAAGCTATTATAAGAGTTTGGATAAGAACGACAGCCGTCCACTGTCGTCAGATGTAGACAACTTATTGACGCAGGGGAATTCCTCGGAATATCAAACTGCATTGGACATGTCTTCAGTAACGCGCGAAACTACTGAATATGTTAGCGCCGTTAGCACACTCCAAAGCAGCAGTGGCAAGACCATAAGCTCACACGAAAGCATGAAAAGTTTAGATTCGCAATCGGAGACATCCGCGAATTTGGGTAGTATTGATGTATCGGAATTATCGGAAACTTTGGTGGCATCCTCCACAGAACCAGATGCCTTAGAAGCTGAGGAATTGGCACATATTCGCGATTTGCGCGCTGATGATGAGGACAGCGATGACAGCCTAGAAATACAAAACTACGCCAAAAGCGAACAGCAAATGCAAAGGTCATTGATGAAACGTTCACAAGAAATGATATTTAAGCCCAAGCCAGAGGAGACTAAAACCGAGGAGCAGCAATTCGAAACAATTACTGTCGAAGAGTTTCCTAAACCTAAGGAAGTTGAGAGAACATGGGGTTTGGCTTATCCCGTAGATGAAGGAAAACTAGACGATGTAAGAGAGCCTGAACGGCCCGAAGATATTTTACTTTATCATGGCGATATCAGACGTTCCATTGACGATTCCAAGCTAGCATCAAGTTTAGATGAAGGTAGCATACTTTCGGTCAGCATGTCGAGTACATCGAATATAGAGACTGTGGTAGAGAACTTCGAGGATATGATTGGCTCGGCCGGTTCTTCTTCCCTCACTGGCATTGAGGCTTTCGGCTTCCCACACGATGAACAGCCATCCTCCTTTTACGAGCATGAGGAAACATTTAGCATGGAAATGGAAAGCAAGGAACATTCCCCACCAGATTCAGCAGCCACAACTCCACCCGGCGAGGCACGCAAGCGTGGGCACAGGCGTAGTGAAAGCACCGCAATCACTGGTGATGTTTTAAAGTCTATAACTGATAAAGAGCTGCCAGTTTTGGGCGAAAATAAGGAATCCGAAAGTGAGTCCGACACAGATCCATACGAATCCGAATATACCAGACAGTTTCGGTCGCCAAGCGAACGCAAAAACAACAAAAAGAAGAAACAGGCAGCTGCCGAAATGGATCATAGCTTCGAACTCGAAAAGCGTCCTTTCACACCGTCACAACTTGTCGCCGAAGTGATAGTAGAGGACAGCGCCACTGAAGAGATGGAAGCCGAAGCCATTGAGGAAGAGCGCCGACCATCGCAAAATATGCAAGACTATTCAGTAATACCAGACATAACAGTAACTGAGGACTTTCAAAAATCGCCAAGCCTCGAGGAAACCGCTGACGGTTTCGAAGAGAAGTCCTTATATAAAGTAAAAACTCAAGAAGAGCTACACAAGGCCGCCGATGTACCGCTGCATGAGCAGAAACGTGCGGAAAAAAGTGAGGAAACATTTCAAAAACTAGTACAGGAGCAATATAAGCAGAAGTTGGCGGATTTGCAACGTCCACAAGTTGGCGATAGTGATTATGATGATGATAAGGCACCAGACTCGCCAGATTCATTTGAAATGGTTGACCAACCTGATATTTCCGATGATTTTGTGATTATCGAAGAGGTAGCTAAAGAAGCCAACGAAGTGGATTTAGGTGCGAAAAGCATTCAAATTCAGCCCACAAAATACGAATCCAAGCATGATGAGGACGTTGAGAAAATTATCATAAAATCAGCACCAGCCGATCCCAAATTAGGCTCACAAATATTCCGTGATGATCTTAATTTCGAGTTCGAGGAAAGTCCGCCGACTGCGGGTAGTAGCAGCGATCCACAGGAGGAGAGTGACTCCGGCGACATGGCTACTTCAAATAAACGCTGGGTAGAAATGCAACTCACAGACACGCAATTGCGCTATCCCTACGATATCACTGGTGGCGTGTTGGAAGACATCAAAGAAGAGGATGGCGAATTCGAAGTGGGTAGTAGCCGCATTAGCAGTTTCAAAGACTCCTTTTCCAGCACACCGGAGTACGACGTCATGGCTGCACGGCGATACTATGCACGCGGTGAACACGATGATGTTTCGATGAGTAGTTTGCAAGAATTCGAGTCGCTCGAGCAGGCTATTTCATTGGAGAACCGCAACAAAACGCATCAGGGTTCAACGGACTCCAGCAATGGTAGTTTCACGCGGCGCTATATGGTGCGCCACAGTGGCAGTGGCACAGCACAAGGCGATGATATATCCATCTCAAGTCTCAAAGAATTCGAAGGCTTGGAGAATGCCTGCATAGAAGCGCATTTGATTGAAATTAAGGCAAAAGAAGAAGCCGCACTACTCTCGCGCTCCGATGACTCGAACAAATCGAATGACAGCGATCGGGAAAATGGTGCAAGCGCTGTTGTTGTAAGCAAAGTGACACGCACTGTAACACGCACTGAAATGCTGCCGGCACAGCAGCAAAACATTGAAGCGCTGCTCAAGCAAAAGCTCGAAGAATGTGAAGGCAGAGATTCACTGGTTAAAATTACGGAGGTGTCAACTGAACCGTTGGAGGCGAAAATAAAGCTCGATAAGCAGGATTCGGAAAAGGGAAGCGTAGACAGTTTGGAAATTAACAAAAGTCTCGATATGCGCTCGAGCAGTATTGGTAGTTTTGAAATTTCAAAAGACGCCACCACACGTTCGGATATAGACTCACTGGAAACTGATCGTAAACAACCAACACGCGAAGAAAGTATCGATTCCATGGAAAATGAGCAGTTTGATTTATTGGCAAGATTTCCAATAGCTGGAGAAACTACACTAGGCGAAGGTCTGACAACAACTACAACAACCACTACGACTACCACAGATGCAGAGGGTCATGAGCATATCGTTACGCAGACCGTAACCACAACAACAAGCACCAGTGGCAATATAACGCTAGAATTCCCCAGCGAGCAACTACCCAAGGATGTATCGACCGACTCACTTTGCATTGAACAAACCAATACCAGTTCGGCGGGCACAACTGCCACCTATCAGACCAGCGCCGGCAATTCACAAATGTCTGGCAGCGTAACAAGTTGTGCATCGAGTACACTCATGGAGGACTCCTATCCTGGAGCGCACTCCAGCTTAACATCTAGTAGCTTTTGGTCTCATGAAGAATCAACGGTTGTGGAAGATAAGAATGTCTTAGAAGAAGTGCTGCTCGAAGATGCTGAAGCGCTGAAACGTCGACAAGTACAGCAAAGATCAGATTACGATGATCAACATTAAACGATGCTCGACAGAGATGTGAGAGAGAGAAAGAGAGAAAGTGAGAGAGAAGAGAAAAAACTAGCATTAAACTTCACGCATAAATAAAATACATTCTTAAGGGATTACAAGCTTTTTATACATACATCAGTGGTTAGGTAAGCACCAAACTTCATTGTTTCATTGCGTATCTTTACTGCATACTTATCTAAATAGTTACGAGAAAGCGATTGCAAAAAAAGAGGCAGGTTTGAGTTTCTCTTGCAAGTTTTCATCGTTATGAATTTTTAATACAATTCGTTGTCTTCTTAATGAAAAAAAAAAGAAAAAATAAAAAAGAAAATATATGCAGTAGAGCTCAACTACGCGTAGAAACTGTAAATAAATAAGAAAGGGACCTTTTTTTGGTTTGATCAGGTTTAACTATATAATGGAGATGTATGTTTGTACATTAAGGTCGTTCAAAAATTAATGCCGGGGTGGAAGTTTGAAATGTTAAGCTCTCACCACCTAGGATTTTTCTAAATGGAAAAAAGAATACCATTTCTACGAAAAAGTGTTTTCCCCATATAAAATACATGGAAAACTTCATGGTCCTTGAGGCAGTTCGAAATAACATATACAAAAAAATCGGGTATTCTTGTTGCGCAAGAAGAGACATGTATTTAGATGGCAGCACTTTCAATCATTCCAAAATTACATTCGGTAATTCCTCATTGCTGGGACCAGGAACCCTACGAACCTTTTGTAAAAAACCCACTATGCGCCAGTGGATAATACGCTCAAATAGGTTAGGTTAGGTTAGGTTACGGTGGTTGTCACTCCGTACGGAACGGCAAAGAGAGACACACTTAAGCCATTTTGACCCATTGTGATGCCACCATGAACGAGCTCTTGTTCCTTTCCCTTAGTTTCCCAAACGCTCAAATAAGACACAATAAAAAGGAAAATCAAATTTCGTTATGTTTCAGGTGTTAAGCGGTCGGAAAGAAAAGTTCTTTATGTTCCTTTAGTTCACAAGATCATAAGAGATTGCAATGTAGATTTAAACTACCTTATAGTTCATGGAACTTCATATCTGGTTTTTGCTTTCGTTTGATAAGAATTGTAGAAAAATTAAGCAAAGCGAAGAAAATTTCAACATTTAAACAGTTAGGAAAAGTTAATAAATTTTGCTTACATCTAAGCGAAACGGCAATGTTGGACACAGTGGCTAATTAGAAAATAAGAACAAGAATCTTAACGTCGCTTGTACGAAAATATTTAAATTTTTATAAAACAGAGTACATTCGACATAACATTGATTTTTATTAATTTGAATCGGCATCCCTACGATACAATTGTTCGTGCATACAAAGTCCATTAAACACTCCAATAAAAGTTTGGTGCTTTTTTCGAGTAAAACGCGATTTTTTCTTGGGTTTTAGTACTTTTTCAAATTCAAAACTTGGCAATGCTGGTATTAACAACCTCGTGCAGTGCGCTTTCCACAGATCTACCCTAGGGTATGCTTGTTGCGCTTTGCGTGTGGACGTCAGTACATTCCCTTACCCACTGGTAGGTCATATAGGCGTTTCAACGTCTTTTGAATAAGATATGCAGGAACCGCGGCCGCTGTGGTGTAGTGGTAAGCAGTGCGCGCTTCCAAACCATAGGGCCTGGTTCAAGCCCTGGTCAAAAGGTTTTATCTTAACAACGGTCGCCCCTCTGCCATGAAAAACAGCTCCTCATAAAAATACAATCGCCGTTCGGAGTCGGCGTAAAACTGTAGGTTCCTCCATTTTATGTGCCAACATCAAGGCGCACGCTACAAATCGGAGGAGAAGCTCGGCCAAACACTATATATGTGTAAGCGCCAATTTATTATTATTATTATTATTATGCAGGATTTATTAGCTTAAAGTCCCTCATGAATACCCCCACCTCCCTCCAAATTAAGCAACTTGCTAAAAAAAAAGTTAAATGAGGTTGCAATCTGCCACATGAGTGTAGCAAGAAGGCAGTTCATCCCATCCCTGTTTTGCAGGGATACAAAGCATTGATGGCTTAAGCTACCTTCACCCTATCCGCGACGTCCGAGTCAGCTAAGCTTGGCACATCCCGGCTAGAGTCCATTCAAGATCCGTCTGCCCTCTAAATACCGGCCAGACATCGAAACTGGTTAGTATACTTCTTAACGTTGACGCCTCAGACCTTCCAAGATCCGTCTTCGCTCAAAATACTATCTAGAGTCACATTGGACCAAGCTAGTATCTTTTGGAGCCACGGACACCACATTTGTGGTCTAAAAAGCTGCACAGATCTGCTGCCAAGAATCCTTCTTTGCTTGTCCTATTTGTTCAGTCGTTTTGGCCTCGACTACATTTGGTTTTGTGGAAAAGTTTTCGTGGTGTCGATATACATAATTTGATCGCGTAACTTTTGCTTGACGTTTTTTTCTCGAAATTGCCTTTTTCAACCTCTAAATGACCTTCGAACTTTAACTCGTTCTGGACTTCTTCAATGAGCGAAAAAAATGAATTACCAAGTCGAGGATGCTGTATCCTTTGGTCGTATTACCGACTTCTGGTTTCGACCGGAAGTGGGTTAAACTGACCAGAAGTCCATTTGTTTAAATGGGATATACATATTTTTACCACAGATTCGAATTCTGCCCATAAAAGTTCATATCTTTTGTCGGAAACTTTTTTTTTGGTTTCGACCGGAAGTGGATCAAACTAACCGGAAATCCATTTTTTCAAATAAGATATACATGTTTTACTACAGATTTGTATTCTATGGACCAAAAATACCCAAGTTTTGTTTGAATCTTTTTTCTCAGAAGTGCCTTTTTCAACACTTTTCAGCGAGAGACCAGGACGAGTTAAGGTTCGAAGGTCATTTAGAAGTTTAGAAAGGCACTTCCGAGAAAAAAGTTTAATACAAAAAAAACGTATTTTTATCTTTAGAATTAGAATCTGTAGTAAAAACATACACGCGTAATAAAAAAAGGACTTCCGGTCAGTTTAATCCACTTCCGGTTCAAACCGGAAAAAAGTTTCCGGCAAACGGTTTGAACTTATATGGGTAGAATTCGAATCTGTGATAAAAATATGTATATCCCATTTAACTAAATGGACTTCCGGTCAGTTTAACCCACTTTCGATCGAAACCGGAAGATAGAGCATCCCCGACTTGGCAATTGATATTTTTTCGTTGTCCAATAAAAATATTTTCACTCGTTTAAGAAGTTTAAGTCTAGGACGAGTTAAAGTTCGAAGATCATTTAGATGTTGAAAAATGCACTTACGAGAAGAAAAATTCAGACAAAAGCTATGCATATGTATCTTTAGAATCTGAATATATAGTAAAAACATGTAGGTATATCTAATTTGAATAAATGGACTTCCCGTCAGTTTAACTCATTTCCGGTCGCAACCGGAAGTCGCTAATGCCACCATTAGAGCATTCACGATTTAGTAGGTAAAATTTTTGAGGTTTTGAATAAAAAATATTTCTCACAATTTTAGAAGGGCTGGACGGGTGATTTAGAACACCTAGTATATACATACACTGCCGGAACAAAGTATTAGCACAGCAAATTTTTCACAATATATGCAACAATTTTTATTCTAATATTTTTCCGCCAATTTTGTATAAAAATATGGTTCATTCAACAACAAAAAGCATAAAAATAAATTCCAAAATTTTGCGCAAAATTCGCAAATTTTCAACTTTTTAATCAGATTTTTTTTTGAGTATGCAGTTTTGGAGCCCATTAAATTCTAGCAAAAAAAGCAATTTCAGAGTTAGTCAAACATCGCGTTGATTTTTGAATTTTTTTTTTTTTGGTTGAAGGTGTTTTGCATTTTTTCCATATAAAGTATTTTCGAGAAAAATTTTTTGTATGGAAGAGACTTCGTGAAAAAAATTGCCAAAAATCAACGGTAATTCCTAGCTACTTAAAACTTGCACTTTACTATAATAAAATTGATTGATAATAAAATCTGATTAAAAAATTGAAATTTGCTGAATTTTCGCGAGTTTTGCACAAAGTTTAGGAATTATATTTTTATGTTTTTTGTTGTAGAACGAACTATATTTTTATACGAAATTAGTTGCATATATTGTGAAAAATTTGCTGTGCCAATACTTTGCTCCGGCAGTGTACATATAATTTTGAAAAAAAAAAAAATTGTTTAAATAAGCAAACAATTTTAAAGACTTTGATTCAGAACATACACATACATATGTAGCTCATTTACTAAAAAACTATCATTACTCAAAAATAAAAACAAATGTTCCAGGAGACGCGTTTAAAGTTTTCAATTTACTCCCAAAATGTAGAAAAAAAGCATATTGTCTTCTGAAGCATAATATACCGAGTAATCCCGTATCATTTGGTATTTTTTATTTTTTTTTTAATTATGACAGTTTTTAGAAAATGAACGATATGTAAATAAAAACGAACAATTTATAAAATATATCCATCAGCAATTCAACTGAATTTTTTGTTTTAAATAAAACCAAACCATCTTTTTTTCTTTTACAGATTTAAATAAATAAATGAAAATGCATGCTTCGTTAATGGTGAACCAACATCGGCAAAGGCTGGGAGATTTCGATTAACAAAAATATACATACATATTTACATACTGCATACTTCAAATACATTCCCTATACTTAGTAAACTGATACATTGCATTTTAAAAATTATCGACGCATCGAACTTTATGAAATACACGGTGAACTATGAACTATGTAACTCCAGTCTTCACTTAAAACACGTTTTTTTAGTAAAACCAAAAATAAAAATTATAAGCATTATAAAAAATATGAATCCACACAAATACCAACGCGTTTGCCATGCAAACTAGTTATTGTTAAATAAAATTTGTTTTGGGTAGATAACAAATTATCCTGTATATTTTGGCTTAAAAGTAAATGTGACCCTTTAAGTGTCTATTATCTATTAAATGTAATGACTTTCGTTAATTGGCTTTAACCTTTCAAATGTATCCGAACTTCTTAGAAAACCTATGCACTAAATATGTTGTATGTCGTTAAGTTAATTGTGTGTACTTGTACTTTTTTAAGAACCATCAACAATTTTCTACATTACATTGATACATTGATTAAAACAAATGTGAAACGCGGTTAAAGATATTATTTATTGTGTTAGTGTGGAAATTTTGCGAGGCAGTAGTTTAGCGGTCGCTGTAAAGAATTTAATATTTTTTGAAAATTATTTAAATACACTAGTCAGTCGTATGTAGTAGTTTAGTTTAAGCAGCTTCAATGGGATACATGCATACATATTTGTTTGAAAACGTGTATGATGCCTTAACAAATATGCAAAAAAAAAATATATTAAATAAATAAAAAAAAAATGTTTAAAATAAAAAAAAATATATAACATGCTTTTAAAGTGACTTTGTCTTTTTCATTTTTTAATCCAAAGGAGCAAATAAAGCCTAAGCATTTTAATAATTTATATTTAATATTTACATTAAACTTAACTTAAGTACAATATTGAAAATATTTATGTAATAAAGCACATACATACATCAAATGAAATAATAGCAAGCATACCAAAAATAAAATGCAAGCATGTATTACCATTTATTATTAGTCGAAAACTTATTGCAAAGTAAATATTAATACAAAACAAAATGCATTTCCTATCAGTGCATGAGAGGACACAGCATAAATGTGTATTTGTAATGCAACACACATGCCTACGATTAACCAAATAAAAGCTTAATCATATAAAATAAACTGATTGTTGTTTGGTTTTGCCGTCGAAATGTAATTAGGTATGTATTTTTGGACTTTCGGACATTTTCTGCTGCAGCGTAGCATCCATCCGTAACAACTTCCAACTTCCCCCAAGAGTTTTTAGGGAATGATGCTGGAGTGACAGTCCTTGACCAGATACGAGTTTGGGTCGTTCCGTTTACGTAGACCCGAGTGTCGTGACTACGATCTTATTTGCATTAGTCCTGTTCCAGGTACTTTACGATTTGCAAGATTTACAGGAAAAGCTGTTTTCGCCTTTAATAAACCTTATGGAAGGTGGCGACCGGGAACGACTTCCTGTAAAAGACCTGCAAGTCGTGAAGCACCTGGAACAGACTTATTATGAGGTTTGCCAGTGCCCTCTGATTGGTTACCGTTATTAGAAGCACTCAAACATACATATGTATGTATATATGTACATAAACAAAGCCAATGAAAATCGAACTCTATGCAATATACGAGAAGATCTAATATTTACAACTTCGTAATAAATAATCAATGTACCTACCAACAGATTATAACTTAAATTTAATTTCAAATATTTAAGTTTTAAACGGTACTACAGTAGATGCTTTCAAATAAGAACCCTCAGAAATTAGAATCTTCCATTTATTTTAACTAAATATTTTGAAGAATCGAACGCTCTAAAATTAGAACTTCAAACATTCCCTTGCTACTGAGAATGCAAACAATAAATTGAGTGGTGAAAAGTGGTTTATCAAAACACGTTCTTCATCTTTAAGCGATTCGTAATACCATCACTTAAGCTCCTTTATTTCTGCTTTAAACAAAATTACCAGAAACTACATAGAACGATTCGAAAATTCGAACCATCTCAATTACAAAGTGATTCCAACTAGTGAGCTTCAACTTTTTACAAATTTTGCATTACCTTATTTTAATGCAGGCATAGCAGTATCTTGGCATCAAATTGTTTTACACTCGACAGAGTTGAGCAGGGTTCACACGATATGTACATCTGTACAGATTTGTCCATTTGCACCGTTACAGTGTGGTGTTTACTGAGCTGCTCTCTTTCTCGATAAAAATTTCTAGACAACACCACGCTCTGATGCAACTACATACATATGTACATACATGAAAAACGCTTCCGATAGGCGATTCTTTGCCGGACATGACAGCAGTATTTCCGGTATATTGGACCTTGCCTTCCTGGCTTCAGGTTTCAATTGAGATTTCGAACTTTCATTATTTGTATCTTTGTATAGAACGTTTTCGCGATATTTATATATACAGACAAACATATAAACTAATCACGGAAACTTTCCAATATCTTTGCTAAACTGAAGAGACTTGTCGTCAAATAAAAACTTCCTCCGCAAATTCGCGCACTTTATGCTGTTGCTTGGTGAGAGATGCCACATAACAAAAAAAATTCTGAGACATCAACAGGGTGAAGCACATGCAACATATTGTGGCGAATACTGCGGCAACACAAAGCGAACAACGAGAAATAGGCAGAATGTTCGAGGAATGACGTAGAATGTTCCACAAAGAGAAACGTCAAGTTGGATGAACACTGCGAACAGCGAGAGAAAGAGAATGAGCGATAAACTTCAGAATGTTCTAGAGTTGCCATAAGTGCCAGCGCAGGTATATAAGGGCGCCGCCACCACGAGGTGAGTTAGTTACGAAGTTACAAGTCAGCAAGCTACAAGTAAACTGAGCGGAGAATCGAGTTGCGAATAAGCAAGCTATAAGTTTAATTGTGTTAACAAGTAGTAAAGCGTTGTTATTGCTTTAACAAGTATTGTAAAGTGTTTTTACTGTATTAGCAAGTATTGTAAATTGTTTGTTGTACAATAAAGTTAATTGTACTACAATTTGGTCAACGTTAGCATTTATTTAACAATCCAGCGATACGAGCCCGAGCATATTTGGGAAATCCCTCAAGGTTTCGAGGATAATCGTAACAATATTTATACAAAGCAAAGAACGTAAATGTATAAGAAGCGACAACTCGTTACTTTGAAAATGTGCCGCGACGATTTTGACCGTTGAAAGGTTGAGACAAAGAACGTAAATGTACATTTACGTTCTTTGGAATCGACAACTCGTGGGTTTAAAAATGTTCCGCGACAGCTAAGGCCATATCTGAAATGCTGAGATGAGCAGTTCGTCTCCCTTTTGTCTCTGTCCGCGTCAGATTTTTGCCTCGAACCATATATGTTTTTTGATGGTCCCTAATTAAAGATTTATGTTCTTTGATTTTAGTTTTCTTTCTCGTGTTTGGCAACTGTGGTTCTTTTATGAATTAGCAGCACTTTTTAGTTCTAAACAAAACACAACCCTGAATGCCGTGCCAGCTGAGCATCCAACAGCTGTTTCACGAAAACAAGAAATGTGTGATTGGAATCGTTTTCTGCACGAATTCTGGTGAAGTTTGTGGAATAATCGTACGAAAAGCAAGTTCTTTGCATAATAAGTGAACTTTAACTTTTTTATGCAAACATATTGAAAAGTAAAATAAACTACAGTAACGTTCGTGAAATTGGATAACAGATTTCCATGAAAGTTCGTTCACATTTATTTTGAAGTTTTTAATTTTTCGCTGCATAGGATACGCATCGCAATCGGCTATAGAAGCAACAACACTGCCAGCAAGTATCGCTGATCAGCCGACGGTGTGTGTACGTTTGTGCTGCCTGCTGCCATTTTTCGGTGCGTACTTTTGTTGTTGCTCGCCTTGTATTGCTCGTTATTTGCTAGCTCGACATTCCATAAAAATCAAGTTGGTAAAAATCGAATAAGAATATGTTTCTTGAATGCATTTCAACGGTGGAAACTGATTGACCACACCTAATCGAACATAAGAAAAAGTATTAAACAAAATTTGTGTACTCCTTACGCAGTATTTACTCGAAAGGCGTGTTTCGCCCGAATTTGAAATAGCGAAAATCGATTTCGTTTTTGGACTCGGGTGCTGTGAAAAGTTCGCCAGCGAATTGAGATAAAAACGATCTAGCAGGAGCCTCAAGACATCTGCGATATGGAGAAATTAAAAGTCAAAACTATAGGTGTGCTACGTGAGCGTGAAGGTGTTACAAATGGCAATGGAAATGGCGTTTGTCGTGTGGTGACACTTACCTCTGCGATTGCTGATAGTGGAGGCAATGTTGCTGTTGTTGCAGGTCGTGCTGAAGATGGGAAGAATGACGGTGGTGGAAGTGGTGGCAATTGTGTCCCAGCTAACCGCCCCACCACTGCAGCAGCGCTTGTGCGTCAGTTACCTAAAATGTCTGCCTCGGATTTGGCCGGAATATTGAATTGTAAACGTCGTTTGGAATGGACAAAAGAGTGGTTGAAAAAGAACCAAACAGAGTTTTTGAGCAAAGAAAATCTACGCAAAGAAATACAATTCCGTAGTAATGAGATATATCACTTTAATTGTTTTTTCGACATAACGGAGCGACAGTTCAGATACTTGGTGAATAACCTATCACCAGTTATAAGTTCCTATGAGCCGCATCGGAAGAAGAAATCATTTAGTGCAGAGGAGAGAATTGCTATAACGCTAAAGTATTTGGCCACGGGTATGTGCACATATTAAAATTTTTATTTTTATTAAGCCTACAAAACTTTAAAACTTTATTTTTTAATACATATTAACGTATAGGTTATTAGATTTGCATGTGACCAGAAAAGAAATGCGCATGCTTATATGTACATATTAGTGTGCAGTTATCAAGGACCAAAAAATCGGAGGATTAATTTATTTGTACTTTGATATTTGATTCTCAAGTCACTCATATACATATTTGTGTATTCCTGGGCTCTAGGTTCATGAAGAAAATGTTTTCGTATTTATTTTGATAACAACGAGTTTAATTTTTGATAGGCATGTCCTTAGTTACAGATACTCAAAACATCCGTGCAAATCAATGAATACAGCACTGCTTCATTTGTGATCGATCTCTAGTTCACTTGCATAATTGTTACTATTCGCACCCTCTTAAACAACTTCTTGAAGACACATGTAACCAACACAGGTAAACGCGCAGTTCCGAAGCAGAGGAGCGACCGCTAACATAACGTCGCCTGGGTAAAAGATTGTCTTAAGCGCCATTTTGACGATATTTAGTTCTAGATGCAGTTATATATTTTGAAATAAGGTCTTTCGATTGGTGTTAGTTATTATTTTTAGTTATCTCCTTTAATTTCCGGGATAATGACTACAAATTTTACGATAATTTAGTAAAACTTTAGTTGGTGATGCAGTCGTATTAAACTAATCAATATCTTAAAGCGTTCTCCATTTTTGGATATCTCCCTTAGTTTCCGAGATATTGAGTAAAAATCGTCATTAATTTGGTAGAAATTTTGATCACATTTTGTCGAATTTCATACAAAGTGGCTGCTAAATTGTGGGCAAATGACGCTTACGACAAAATTTTACTAAAGAAAATCCTTCATAAACTCAAAACTAATTAACAATACACAAAAGTTGAATAATTTAAGAATTTTGTGAACTAGTAACATTTTCAGAGACTTTGGAGAAAATATATATTCGCATTTTTGAGAAATTGCATTCCAAACTTCAATCGCGATTTCCCACAACCTTCCGAAGTTAACATACGACAATCGTTTACCCAGGCAACGATAAGTCAATTGGGAAGCTAAACACTCTCTCGAAGACAAGCTTTTTATTTGGCGCTGTAACCGCCCATGACAAAAACATATTAGGGGTATTCTCCGAGTATTGCAAAGATCTTGCACGGTGCACGGTTTGCAAAGCTGTCCCATAAGAAAACCGGTTTTTACTGTGCAATCCGTGCAATCTGTGCACCGCGCAAGGGCTTTGCAAGACTCAGAGAATATCCCTAATGTTTTTATCATGGTAACCGCCTAAGCGATTTTGGCCGAGTACAGCAATTGCCAATTGTAAATTCCAAGAGAAGCTAAGTGCTCTTCCTATTTGTAAATTGAAAACACGCTGCTTTTAATAGTTGAAATCTGATTAACAAGCGTTCTAAAAAGGGGTTTTCATATAAACTTCGAATAAGTTTACTTCTGCAAGCGTAATTTGCATGTTTGTATCAAAAAAACGTATATAAAGTTTTTAAAGGCAAATATTATACAAGTGTTTGACGCGTATATTTATAAACCACTTTACTTTGAAATTAAATGCAAATGTAGAAGCGGAGGAAGAAAGATTCATTCTCTAAGGAAAGATTAGCTCTATTTCAAAAAATTTGATTCGAGAATGGGCTGGATTTCGAATTTACAATAGAGGTATTCTCGAAATTTTACCGTGCATTCGCTTTGCAAACCTTCCAGAATACCACTAATCAAGGTGGAATAAATAGAATAACGAAGACTCCGTTATACTGCGGAATGGCCAAGTTATCGAGTCGAAGATCACCATCTTCCCCCCATCCATTGTCGAAGGAGAGGCAAAAGTTTCGTTTTCCAATTAATGTTTGGAGTCCAAGAAAAATCACAAGAAATATTTTTTATTACTTTGCTTTTGCTGTAAGTTTTCTTGAAGAAATAAATATATGTACAAGCATTTTTTTCTTGAGCGCTGCGAACCTATTTTATAAATTCTGATAGAAGAAATTTTATTTTCCATATCTTGTGCGTCATTTTATCTGAATTTTTCGTATGAGAGCTGGAAACAGCCCTTAAGTTTTTAAGAATTTTTAGCCGAGCCTAATGTACCGATTACCAGTAGTTCACAAAGTATGTATTACGTTTTACAATGGGAGTAAGTACATACACACATGTGTATATGTAAATTCAAAACTTTGAATTAAATTAGCTCATTTTTACGACTTTCATATATCCAGAAAAAATTTTCGAACGTTCGTCATAATGCTTATCGGGTAATTTTTTAACATTTTTCAATGTGATTGAAAGAACGAAATTTGTATGCAATTAAAAAAAAAATTATAAAAGGTTTTAAGACGTCGATACCTTTTGGTATTCGCGATACTTACTCGGTACTTGTGAAAAAGTATCGAGCTCTCGATACTACTCAGTACTTATGAAAAGTATCGATATTCTGTACTCGGTACTCGTATCGTTCTATCACTACTCCTGGATTGCCTACTCAGTCCAAAGTAGCACTTGTTGGAAAGAGTGATTCTGCGTTGGATTTCCATGCTGACATTATTATCGGTGTTAATGCTGGTTCCCTAGTAAACGAAATTCTGTACTTTCTGGCAATTATAACTGTCAGCAGTGACGTGGATGCCAAGGCGCGAATCTGCTGACTGTTTGTTTGATGACAGGATATACTTCGTCTTGTTTACCACCAGACCCATTCCTTTGCTTCCTTATCCAACTTGGAATAGGCAGAACAGACTTCGCGGTTTTTGTTACCGATGATGTCGATGTCATCGGCATAAGCCATCAATTGCACGCTCTTGTAGTAAATTGTTACTGAGCGCCTCAGTTCTGCAGCTCTTATTATCTTCTCCGACATCAGATTAAAGAAGTCACATTAAAGGGAGTCGCCCTGTCTGGGACTCCGTTTGGTGGCGAACGGCTCGTAGAGGTCTTTCCAAATTCTGACGGAGTTGGTGGTATTGCTCAACGTCATTTTACACAGCCGTATCGGTTTGGCGGGGATGCCAAATTCAGACACAGCGGCGGGTAGGCAACTCCTTTAATTACTGTCGAAAGCGGCTTTTAAGTCGACAAATAGGTGGTGCTTGCCGATCCTTTTCTCTCGGGTCTTTTCCAAGGTTTGGCGTATTGTGTATACCTGGTCTATGGTGGATTTTCCAGGCCTAAAGCCACACTGATAAGGCCCAGTCAGTACATTTGCGGTGGGCTTCAGTACGCCCTGGTCTTGAAATCTTCTGTAAGTCGCCTAACTCTCTGGTTGTTGTTGTTGTTGTTGTTGTAGCAGCAGTGCTCAGCCCCCCAGATTATGTCATGTATCGCCGTCTTCATCATCCGACTCTGTAAGCCTGAGGCCTAGAAAGCGGGCTGCGTCGATAGGCGCGGTCCAGAGCGCTTCTGGTGTCAGGGTCGTAGGGTTGGAGGTGCACGTGAAGAGGTGCTGGGTGTCGTGGGGACCTTGCCCACATGCAGGGCATGTGTTTGCACTGCTGCTACAACTAACTCTCTGGTAAAAAGTTTGGGCATTCTTCCTGTAGGCCAGCATTTCAAGCTCTTCACACTCACGTATTTCGTCCTCTCTTTTTATTGCGGCAAATTAGTATCGCTTCCCTCTTCAGATCGATGTTTGGGCCTCGGAGTGTCCGTACGTCCAAAACACTGGAAGCATACCTTGCGTCTATCACAGCATGATAGATTTGGTTTCTCGTTTTTTCATCCGGATACAGCCACGTAGCTCGATGAATCTTTTTATTCTTGAACCTAGTACTGCTACTTGCATGTTTTGGGCCCCGGCGAAGTCGATCAGCCTCTGTCCGTTGTCGGACGTTTCGCCGTGTAGACTGAATTTTCCGACGGTGGTTCCAAAGATCCCTTCCTTGCCCACCCTGGCATTGAAGTCGCCAAGCACGATTTTGATATCGTGGCGGGAGCAGCGCTCGTACGAGCGCTCCAAGCGCTCATAGAAGAGATCCTTGTATACCTCGTCCTTCTCTTCCGTCGGAGAATAAGCGCAGATGAGCGATATGAGAAGGATCTCGCTTTGACGCTGGGATGAACGACAGTACACCACAACAACAATACTCCGCGACGGTGCGACTTTGCGCTCGGACAAATCTTGTCGCTAATGCGATGCTCCTTCTGGAAGGCGAAGCGCTCGTCAGTGGAAGATAAACCTTGTGAGAGTCGCGGCCAGAGTCTTCGCAATTTTACTCTCTGCCTACTTATCTACGGCAAACTTTTATTATACGAGAAGTGTATTCGGAGAGTGGCTAAAAATACATACTAGAGACCCAGTAGGGAATTGATTGCTTTAATACACAACACAAGTAATTTTTAAGCAATAAACACAACCGACTTCAATTCTCATATAAAAATTCAGGAGTTCCGTTAATTTCTTCATGATCCAATGATCGGATGTAACCCATTATTACTGTGGGAACACCCTTGAGGTTCCGCCTTTCCGATAAACAAACAATTATCGAAAAAAAAATCCTACGAACTGATAAGCTCCTCCTATTTTTTGGAAGTCCGATAAAAATATTGTTAAGTTATATATTAATGTTTTTGTTTATTTTTAGGTGAAGTACATTCATGTCGTAACTATTGCTTCCGTGCCTCGAAACCTGTGATACTAAAAATGATAGCCAATATATGCCTCAATATATACGAATTACTCAAAGACTTATTTGTCTCACTACCAAAGACTGATGAGCAATGGCAAAATGTGGCTAACGAGTTTCAACGCAAGCACTGCATGCCAAATTGTGCCGGTCATCTGGCTATGCAACAAATCAGATTCCATTCTTCATCACGTGCCGAGGAACAAATTGACTTTATTAACAAACAACCACTCATCTTCACATCTATTGTAGATAGTAATAATAATTTCCTGTATACTGATATTGAAAAGACTCAAGCGGGAGCTATCGATGAAATTTATGAAAAATCCACAATTAGACAGATGATTGAAACTTATGAAGTAAAACTGCCAGTTAGTTATGAAGCACAGGATGGCAGTATTGATCAATCCTATTATTTTGCAAGCAAATGTGGCCTGCCTCTGAAGCCCTATCTGCTGAGCGGAGCCGCTGATGTGCCAAATGACTCACGAGTTAATTACAATAATATCATGAATATGGTTAACAGACATACCGAAAACGCGTTACGTATGCTAGCCAACATATTTCCCATATTGTCGCAACCCTTGCGCATAGATGAGGAGAACGGACGTAAAATAATACTCGGTTGTGTGGCCTTGTATAACTTTCTGCGAAAGACAGACCGCACATTCTATAAACAAACTGAAAAGATCACATTGAAAAA